TGGGCCGCGGCCCATGGGTTGAAAATCCCTGATCTAAAGGTAGCTAGCATGACGAGCTAGTCTCTCCGGCAGAAACCCTGCTTCTAGGCCGCCTCGACTGAAAGGGTCTACAGAGCTGCAGCTGTTGTTGTTAAAGCGCTCAGTGTTTCCTCCATGCTCTCCACACCAAGCTGAGCTGTGTGGACATGGCCACAAAACCGGACCACAGTGTGTGGGAGGAAATCACTGTGACCACGGACWTCTCCCTGCGTGTGCAGCATTTTGCCATCCAGGCCATGGGAAAGTCAATGATGGTGTTKCTGGAAAGAACAACTCAACCTGACCAACCTGTCAGACAGAGAAAAGAGGGTTTTATGGACATGCCGATCGTGCCAAGGGCCTTTTCATCTTCTCTGGTTTTCATGCAGCAGTGGTGCGAGGCTTAAAAAGAGGTTGATGAAGCACTCAAATGTTTCTTGCCCAGGAAAACAAAACTCCTCCTCTTCAGGCCACCCCACAGCAGACCTTTGCCCTGGCATCTTCATGGTCTCCTCTCTTTAAAATCCTGTTAAGCCCTAAGGGGTTTTAGAGGTAATTTCCTCCTGAAAGTACACAGCAAAATAAAGCAAAAATATCTCCACAGTTAAAAGGTCTAAATGCTAACTCTTGGTACCTCTGTAAAGGTAAAACCTTAAAGATAATTTCTTAAGTGAAACCACTATTGTAGCTCTTACTGTACCTGAGTTATTTGTGATTAAATAAAGAAAATTGGTAATTTTTTTAGCCTCGCCTAATTTTTTTTTTAAATCAACAGTGCAAAACACAATGAAAACTCTTGTGAAAACCCAGGAATGCCCTTAGATTTTATACATCTACATCTTGAGAAAAATTGCAGCAAAGTAGGACTGAATAAGTTGAAGTATATTCATTTCACAAAGGTTTTAGTGAGCAGTGTGCCAGGTGGAAATGGCATTTTGGCACAATTTAGACAAACGTACCCAAAACTGTGCCAAATGGGTTTTTTTACTTTATAAAAGAGAATCTGGTCGAATAAAAGTGTTGATTTGTATTGTAGGACTCATTCTGCATATGACATAAACTTTTCTTTTTACATTTACACCGTGCATCATCAAAATCTACTATTACACTATTCATCCACGCGCCTACAGAAACGTAACTCCGCCTCCACGTTTTACACATGAGGGCTGTTATTTATACTCTCGGTTACACACAAACGTCACGTCACCAAACAAAGAGTAACACAGTGTCAAGATATATCCCTGAATTTGTGAGAGCTTCGTCTTTTCAAAGATACCAAAGGGAGGGGTGTGGAACCAAAAACTTGCACAGCAACAGATGCTGAGAACTTCCTGATCCTGAAACGGTCCGCGACGGTTCAAGTAACTTACAAATGTTTATATAGCTYTAAAATCATAAATATTTATCCAAAAATAATTTGGTAACTCATTTTAAAAAACATTAAAGACACTTTTTGTGACGGACTTAGAAAATATTTGAGAAAAATAAGTTTTAAACATACTTTAGCAAACAACAATGCAATGACGCCATCTGCTGGCCCTGTACAGGGACCGTCGGGCTTAACGGTGAACCCCAGTTGTCTTCAGCCATCTTGCCCAGCCAGAAGGAGATACAGAGTTTGGCCCCAAAAGACTTAAATGCCTCCAGCAGCTGTTCCTCACAAACAACATGGCCAGGCTCCCAGTCGTCAGGCCAGGAAGAAGAAAAGGGCTGCCTGACGGCCTCCATCTTTTTATAGGTGGTAGATCTGGACGTTCCTCGTTCACCAGTTCCTCACATCTGTCCGAAGAGTGTGTCCTTCCCACTCCCCGTCCCTGCATAGTTCCACAACCAAAGGAGGAGGAAGCTTGACACTCAGCACACACACACACATTTGAAAATAATAAAATATTTTACTCTCGTATCCAGACTGAAGGTCAAGGGTGCACATACAAACAGTAAAAGAAAGAAAATCCATATTAACGTCACTCTCCGCCCAAAGAGACAGGTTGGTTTCCCTCATGGCTTCAGCCTAGGTTCAGTGAACTATATCACAGAGATACAGACTCCAGTTCACGGGGATTCCTCCACACTTTTCTGGAATAAATTTCACTCAAACTTGAGCTTGAGAATCTGCAGAAGAAAATTTCCGCCCTGCTGAGGAAAGGAGAAATTTGCCATGTGCTCTCACAGCAGAGACATGGCGTTCTGTTTGCTCGTGACCAGGGTCGTCCTGATACCAGTTTGTCTCAAACCGAGTACAAAGGCAAATACTTCCGTTTGTGTACTCACCTATACTGAGTACCGATAAAGTACTTACTGAGTTCGAACTTAAACATTACACAATGACTTTTAAAGCATATTTATTTTATTTGGAACAAGGTGACTTTGCTTCCTACAATCCCTCTGACTGTATCAAATCAAACGTGCAGCATGATATACTTTGTTACAATAAAAAATAATAAWTAAATTTTTCTTTCAACTTGCATGAATTTTTGAATCATGGAAATGACGAACTATTAACATGAAATGTTATTGTGTAAACTTTAACACATTTAATGTATTATTGACAATGATATACATACTGGTATCATATTGGTCTTGAGTATCAGGGCATAGTACGAGTACTTACAATCGGGCTGATATAGATACTAGTACTAAACACCTTTGCTCGTGATTTGTGCTGCAGTTGGAGGACTTCCCAGGACTTGTTCCCAGCTTTTTATCTTAAAAGATCATAATCACGTCAGCAAAATCTGATGTCTTACCTCTCGTGGAGTATAACCAGGACTTAAGTTTGTTTCCACTTCATTCTAGAATAAGAATCTTTTTTWATTGCAGATATGCAGACTGTTGAACTGAAGAGTGTACTTAGTGAAGTTTCAGTGTCATTGATGAAAAACTGACATGGAAAAATCATACAAATAATTTAAAGGGATCCCCGATTAGATGTAACATTAAACGTCATTTGATAAACATTTATTTTAACTGTAAAATAAAGGCTGTAAAAATACTGTAGGATGTTTAGTTTTGTAAACTTTTAAAAATATATTTTAACACGGAAGGAGCCATTTTATTTACACACAAAGCATTCTGGGTAAATGATGACGTGGATAGGTCCTCGGTGCGAGGCTGCTAGCGAGCTATATCC